TTTTGCTTTATCTATCTGCCCTTCCACCACTTGTGGATCAGTTCTAGAAAATACCACTAGCTACTGTTTGTGCAAAATCCTAACTTAGTTCTGGCTCTTCTGGCAGTACTGAATTTAGAGCTTCACACTGGAAACATCAACCTTGCTGGGCATTATAGCCCACAAGGCACATATTTGCAAGTTCTTTGATTTATTTACCAGACTGTTTGCTTTCTGATCTTCCTCCAATGATGTCTTTGATTTTTACTCACCATACTCCAGCAGCAAATTTCCCATTTGGTTTTATTTCCTGTTTTTCTGAACTAATGTGCTCCTGGGTATGTTTGTGTATTATACATTATACATACATACATACACACAGAGTATGTATATAGAGTCGAACAGTTAATGTATGTAATAACTGGTTATTCTGCCTCATGGAGCATGTTCACACAGTGTCCCAGAGGCCTTAGGGAATATACATGCCTCTGTTGCATTTTGAATATATTTTCTCCTCACAATCCTGCTAAAAATTATTTTCCTTCATTATCCACATACTGCTATAAAACTTAAGAAAAAAGTGAACAGAAGCATGGGAGGAGAGGTGAGGGTTAACCTCCTGCTGCGCTGCTCAGTTGATCGACAGGGAACAGCTGAGCAGGGGGGACAGGGATTGAGCTTCAGCTAAAGTTATCTACCCCCCCCCAAACTCTCCCCCCACTGATTACCATTCCCGGCCATTCTGTTGAGTAATGTGGAGGGGGGAAAGAAAAAGAATGGATATTTTCCTAAGCTTAATAGCTATGGGAAGCAGTGCAAAAAAGGGGCTAACCTCCATTACCAACACACACCCCAGTTCCAGATTTTTAGAATGGGTGAGCAGCAGAAAAATAAAGCTGCAGCCATTCTTTCTTCCACTACTCATTTGATCAGAGGAAGGGACCATGGTTCCCACCCCAAGGCCGTTCATCAGGGGAAAGCTGAACAGTTGGAAAGTAGAGCCTCACATCTGTGTGCTCCATTAAAAGGATGAAGTGGGGAAGAGAGAATACAGCAAAGTGTGGCTTGTGAGCAAAAGTTTCCTTCCTCAGAGGCAAAACTAAAAGCAGACTTTATGATGACTCTGTGCACTGACTTGTAGAATGTGTCTATTCTTCAGAGAATGTATACAGCACATTTGAGAAATGTACATTCCCCAAGCTTATTGGATATCCTGACAACATTTTGCATCGAAGTCCATAGAAAAGTATATATAATGTATGGGAACTTTATACAGTTTTCTTTTTCTGGACTGATCTTAGTGGGCATCCGCCATGAGGTGTGATGAATGTGCACATTGGCCAGTTGTTTAACTCAACATTAACTCAAAAAAAGCACACCATTGGATTATGCAGCCTAAGGTGCATAGGTTGATAACATGTTAAAAAGCCTGCTTTTGAAAACACAAAGATTGAGGGAGAGACCTCCTAGGCACATGGAGTCCACAAAGGATACTTCTTAGTAGAAGAGGGGTAAGGCCCAGCACAGATAAAAAGGGTGCGTCAGTGAATGTCCTGAGCCTTGCATCACAGGTAGCATACTTGTTTCTCTATATCCAATTTTTTCCATATTTTTTTTACACTTAGTGTATTACTACGCTTCCAGAGGTCCACTTGTTTTATTTTTAATAGTGTGACAATGCAACTTTGTTCAAGGCTGTTGTTCAGTAAAAATTTAGCTGGCTTTTGTTGATAAACCTTTGCAGAATATCTTTGATTTAAAGGAGCAGTCTTTAAAGGGGCAGTGACTCTCCTCCAGGAGACATTGCTGCGCTCTGAAATAATTGTCTTGCCACAGGGCACATTGAGATGGCATTCCTAGACTAACAGTGAGTTGAGCTGTAGCTCTCAGCTCATGAGCCATGAATTACTATCACATCATCAGTCCCTCAACAAGACTGCAGGATAAATTCAAGCTGCTTTCTGACCTAATGGCCTGGTCTTCTGAACTCATCTCAGTCACATAGCCAGAGCAGAACATGTGGGACTGCTTCCATTGAGAAGGCAATAGTTAGATAATTGTACTTATAACTGCTGTGAAGAATACCGGAAGCCACTTCTTTATGTCTTGATAGCTTTCTTTATATCTTGCTTTTTCCCCCCTATTTTTTCTTTTCTTATTGCACTTTTAGCTTTTTCTGTTCTTTCTTTTTTTCTGTTCTAGTTCGTTGTAGCTTTTATTGTTCTTAAAACTTTTAATAAAAATTATATATTAAAAAGAGAGAGGGCAATAGTTAGGAGTAGAGATCTTGCATACTTGTTTGGGTTGAGTTTAGAGCTGTCATGTCTGCTTCAAGATGGATCAGCACAGTGCCATCATCCTGTTACCCTCATTGTCTTTTCCCCATGATTCTTCTGTGTTTTCTTGAATTGTAGAAAACCTTGAGTTCTTTCAGTTAAATGGAAGAGGAATGTAATCTCTGTAGGTGTGTTTTAGTCTACTCATTTTTCTTTCTTATTGTATGGGGGTTTGGTACAGGCAGTGATAAATTAGAAAATCCAGCCTAGCACATTTATTATAAAACTTTAAAGGGGGATGCCACTTGATGGCCCTATTCTTTTAATTAATCTTTTAATTATTTTCTGGCTCCTTTTTTTTTTTTGAATGAGAGCACTGTAAAATGTTCATTTTTTAAAAAAAATCCAGAAATCCCTTTTAATCATAGTCAGAATAGCAATAACCAGAAAGATTATGTTTTAAAAATTAGTATTATTGTATGATCATGTTATCACACTATTAATGCTGTAATACAAACATTAAAGTTGTAACACTATAGTCTAGTGTTACATCTTTTCTTTAGAGAAAAATTGGGGAGGTATAGCACATAACACCATAATTTTATAATGTTAACATTTGTATTATGGTGTTAATAGTGCTGTAACATGATAATACAAATAATTCATTTTTTTTAATTGTTGAAAGAAGGAGATGGCGGGAGAGTTGATATTTTTAAAAACTTACCATAACAGCATTATTCTCTATGCCTTTCTTTCCTTAAAAAAATCAGATTAGAAAATGTTTCAGCAATGATTAAAAACACAATACAGTGGCACTTACCACAAGATTTGTGTGCTGATCTTCACAGCTCCACCCACTGCAAGCGCCTCACACCTGTTGTGGTGGACAAACATAGCTTACATCTGAAGAGCCATGAGTGAGTCGCATTAGAATCCTGCCACCCATCATCTGGAAGCAAAGGAGATGGATTAGGGTTTCCTTCTCAAGCAGAACAAGTGGCACCATAAAGCTTTGCCTTTTGGTAGCCCACCAGATTTGCCCTGTTGCACCTGGGGCAGGTGGCGGATGGCATCTGAGGTGCGGATTGCTGTGGTTGTGTGTGCTAACTCCCTCCTCTCCTTTACCTTTCTCCCACAGACTGATAACCCAGCGGCAGCTCAGCTTGACAAGGTTCGTGGCACACCTTTGGGGTTTTGGGGGGAGGCGGCTTGTCTCTCATGTGGCCTTCATACCAGGCTTGTGTGCTAGGCGTGTGGATGTGCACACGCGGACATGCATTCACATCCTCCCATGCGTGTGCCCTCTGCCATAGAGTTGTATTTGCTCATGCACACCTCCAGACATGCTTTGCTTCTGTACAATGTGGTTTTGAAACTGTTGTGGGGGGAGTGGGCTGTGACCTGTTGCTGCTGGACTGTTAACTATGTATGACCCTTTCTCTAGGATAGCATTCTCCCTCACCCTGCTCTTGCTCTCCCCTCCTTTTTCCTTTTCTCCACTCTCTCTTCTCTGCTCTCCCCCTTTCTCTCTTTCATGCACCCAAAGCCAACTTCTAGGTCTGTGTTTCAAATATTCAAATGTGCTTTCAATGCCCAGGTGCTCTTATATCATCAGACCTAGGATAGAGAACTCACACTCTGGGAAAATTCATGTTTAGCAAGATTTTTTCACTTGGAAGTGTCAGCCACAGGAAATAGGGCTAATTGTACCTTAATTAGTTGTGTTCACATAATACCTTAACTATCCATTTTCTGGGTTCACACAATACATTAAAACCATAAGCTTATTAGACAGGCTGAGTTCAAACAACATACATACACAAAAACACTCCAAGATTAATATTAAGCAGCTCTAGCAGCTGTGTACATGCAGGATTAGATCTTCAAATAACCTAGCTAAGAGTGTCAACCAGTATGTAACAAATTTTTAAGCTGCCTTTTAGTGGTAATTAATGCTAAAAAGAAAGCAATCAAAATTCTGTACTATGATAATACATGTAACTCCTCCTGCAAATAGGGAAGGACAAGGAGAAATAGGGAGCTTTCTGATAGCTGGAAATGAATGAATTTCTGGCTTTTATAAATTTACTAGGCCATGCCCACTTGTTTCCATGAATAATATTTATGCCACCTTGAGGACTGGAAGTTTCCTTTTTTGTTAATGTAAGCTAAGATTACCTGAATATTTTGCAAATTTCTGACATTACATTGGAATTACGTTTACACATAGAGGTCGCTAGAATGAGGTTGGGTAATTGATGATTCATCATGTTAGCCATTGTCTTAACGTGTTGTATGGTCCAGGCCCTCCATTAAACTTTATCATGATTTATTTGTTTAGGGATAGCATGCCAGGTGAACATTTTTCTGAATTAGGCTTAGCGCACTGTGTGAGCCCAGCTATAGTCTGTTTTTTTCCTTCCTATAGTTGTTTCTGGGAGCAGTAGCCTTAACTGGATGAGTTATTGCCATCATCAGCTAAAGGCAGAGTGGCTCTTCCCCTGCCAAATAATCTCTGGGCCTGGCAACAAGCAAAGCCTGGAATTTATGAAAGGGCACCACAGCTTCCCAAACTCATGGTGCTCTGCCAGTTTGAATGAAACAGGGTTTGAAAGGTGGCTTTTTCTTCCTGTCTGCACCCAAAAGCTCTGTGTGGCTTCTCTTAACAGTAAGGGGCACAAGCAATGTAACTTTATAGTGCTTAATTTACATAATTGTCATAGTCTAATAGCGACCTAAATTAGCATCTCAGGTTCTTGCTATGTGGAAGGTGTGAAAAAGAAATCATACGTTTTGCGCGTACAAGTCCCAGGCTCAGTCCCTAGCAAATACAGTTGAAATAGATTTCAGGAAACCATAAAGCAGGGAGACTACTCTTTCTCTAAAGTTCTGGGAAACATTCTCTAGTCAAAATAAGCAACACTGAGATAGATAAGCCATGAACTGCCTTCACTTTCATAATTTTGAAAGCTTTTGAAGTTCATAATTATGGGGCAGGAAGATGGAATTCCAGGTGGATTTCTGACAGTCCCAAGGAGATTTTTGATTCCAAATCTGCCAATCCCATCAAAGTCCTGATTGAGAATAATTCCTTCTGTTTGCCCTCTTCTGCTTGCTAGAGCCAGGTAAGCTCCATGGCTTTCTTTGGAGCTTGGTGCTATGAAATGGCAGTGATAGCAAAGAGTGATGGGAGAAGCCCCTCAGTAGTAGGGTCGACACATATAATATGCTAAACCCTAAACCTCTTTCAACAAAACACAATGTGATGGCCTGGTTCATACAGTATGATAAGATAATGGCTAGACTTGTACATTGAGCTGAACTACAAACCACCCAACCATATTTTAGTTTGGTCAAGTATGTTGCATGAACTCATCAGCAAATCTAACCAGAAAATGGGATACCACATTGCTTTGTGGTAGAACTAGCAAAGAAATCCTTTGCTACTATGGCATCTGCTCTGTGTTGGTGAGCCCAGCAGAGTGATTTTAAATGATGAAGGGACCAATAGAAGAGAATATGTGTAGCTCAGGGTTGAATTGTGGAGTCCTTGGAGTTCTCTGAGCTTGGCTGTTTTCTTGCAAACATTTCATTACCCGGCTAGGTAACATCTTCAGTGCTAGAATGGAATGGGGTTTGTTCTCTGTTTATATACCGGGGCCCGGGCGATTAAAAAAAAAAGAAAAAAAAAACCCCCACCCCCCACTCCCAACAGAGGTAATTCCGCCGCCGAACAA